GGTATAATGGGCATATAACCAAGCATGATGATTGCATGCAAGACTGAAGGCAAGGATACAGTGGAAAGATAGTCAGAGATGAGTGGAAATGAGAAAGATAGTAGAGAGAGGAAAATTAAATGCTACTGCACCACATATGTGCACACATGTACACATGTACTGTACACATGTACACTTGCACATATACATGCATACTCACACCCATTCAATCATCCCAAAAGCAATGTCAACACAGACCTCTAAGTTCTGTAAGTTGCACTTGAATCCTGACCTCAGGGTCTAGAAACTGCTGGTATTTTATATCCAATTCTAAAACTAATAGGCTCTACTCCTGGAACTCCACTTTTCTCACTTACAAAAATTGAGACAATCCATTGCTCCTTTAATGGGTCCTTTAAAACTATAAGTGAAAGCAAAGAAAATCTGAGTAAATGTTGAAATGGCAAGGTGCAAACAGCAGCCTTGGTGCTGTCTCCATAGATTTGAAGAATCTGTCCACATTACTGTCTATCAACAAAGTCAGATAAGAGGTCTCCAGTCCCTTTGGAAGGAGGACTTTTGCTATGGAGGGAATAAATTAGTTTATATCCTTAAGCTAGGAAGCTACTATGTAAATCTAAGAGCAGTGCACAATTTTTGTAGGATGTTAGGTTTGGTTTTTTGTTTTGTTCATGTTGTTTTGATTTCTGAGACAGGTATTCCTGTCAAGGCTAGCCCAGAACTCGTGATATCCCTGCTGCTATCTCCCGACTACTCTGATATAGACTTTTGTCGTCATTCCAGGCTCCAACAGGCTTTTTATATTCTTTGAGTTTTTTTTCAGAGTGTAAAGTGGTCATAAAGCAATACTTATTTAACTTTTGGCATTGGGATCTTTATGATTTCTTCTTACATGGAGAAATAGGCTTAAAGACAGTTAATTTCTTTTCCCTTTTCCCTGAAAGGAGCTAAGATTTATTCGCTCAAAAAATCAGAAAACAAACAAACAAAAAATCCTTTGTTACAGGTTATTACTGGGGCAGACATGAGAACCAGTTCTGCATGAAGGGAAGACCATTACATTGAAAGTCTAATGGGGAAGATCTATTTTTCAATTGGACTCGCATTTTCACATTTCTTATTGAAATAATTGTTTTGGTCAAAGATCCCGTCTCTCTTTCTGCTTATTTATATTGCTAACAATTTAAAATCATTTTCCTTTAGACCTTCCTTTCACATTTAAAATTGATGAAACATCCATTGGTCTTTGAAACCAAGAAAATAAACATGAATCTTCTGCCCTTGATAACTTTGGTTTAAATCTAGCTCACTTTAAACTAAAGCAAGTTTGATCTTGTTATCTGTAATTCTTCATGCTTTGAGGTGAGCAATAATCAAATCCCTCCAAAATATGTAAAGAATATGAAAAGTATTTCTTTTGAAAGCTAATTCACATAAGCCGTTTAGTAACAGAATTAGAGGTAAGCTTGCCCCATTTTCTTATTTGACAGTCCCAGCAGTGGACAGCTATTATAATGTCTGTCTGCTTTATTGTGATCTGAGCAAGTCTTCACTAAGATGATATGCTGGAGAGAAAACGTCACTAAAAACTAATAACCAATTTACAAATTGTGGCTACCAAACAGCTTCTCATCTGCAGTGACAGACACCAGAGTGAGGCCTCAGCTGTAGCAGCTCAATATAGTTGCCATTGATTTCCACTGAAATACTATTCAGAAGCATCAGTATCCATAACTACTGGTGGTATTACTGTGTGACCTTCAGTGTATCACTCTCTTGAGACTTAACTTGCAAGTGCCCAACTTTCAAACTGCATCTTCGTGCTTCTGCACTGTAGAAATGCTACCCAGAAATGGTGTTGATATTGATAAGTGTCTAAGACTGCTTTAAGGACAAGGGCATGAGTGGTAACTGTCTTCAGAGAGAAGAGGCAGTCTTGCAAGATGAAGAATTAAAGCTGAACTCCAAATGCCACTAATGACCTGGATTACCTCTAATGTCCCTTCTGGAAATCATTGATGTGTCCATCATTCAAGCGCCATTACTGAGTCCCACTCCATGCCAAGCACCAAACTTCTCTTGAACGAGCATCATATGAGCCCCAGTTTATTTCCCTTCTCTTCTTTTTAAACACTTTTCTTCCTTGGTACCACTTGTACTTACAAATAAGGGTTTTCATCATGGTACTACAGGCTCCAGGGCTCACAAAGAGCTCTGGTGTTTCCAGTAATGCTGAGAGACAAAAAGGTTCACTTTGGCCCTTCTCAAAACCTGGATGATGTACTAGTCTGCCCTCAATGAACCAGGAATGGATGCCTTCATCTCTGTGGAAAGATTCTTTCCAGCCAGATGCCATCCAAACTGTATGGCAAACAGTGAAATATTTCAACTTAATCCAATCAGTTTTAATTTGCAAAATGAAACAGTAATTCTATTGTGTTCAGTGAACAATTTTCATTGGCAAACTGAAATTTCATTACATGGTATCTGAAGCCAGTTGTAAAACCTAACATAGTACATATAATCACATCAGATAGGTCATTAACTTACATTGTTAATTTAACCATGCAGGGAGCAACTATGGGCTTCTCAAAACAATCCCACTAACTACAGCTGCTTTTATAGAGCCCCTTCATGAATGCTGTGCTCCTTGAGACCAAACCCCAGTCCTCACAGTGCTACTTGGTATGATGTTCACATGTTGCTTCCTCACTTTAACTCTGTCATCTTACAACAACCCTGAATATGATTGAGTATTCTGAGTGATGTAATTTGGCAAAACAACAGTCCAACACATAGAGATGCATGAAGATCTGTTCATATCAGAAGCATCTTTGGGTGTAGTGGGGATTCTGATCACTGCTTATGCTGCCAATTGACTAGTCTGACATTTGCAAATACCATGTGAATACCAAAACTTTCTCAGACTTTAATGATCTCAGAGGGTGGGTTTTGATGCTTCAGACACCTAAACATCTGTGTGTCCTTGTTCAGAAACTACTATTGGATACTTTTCATGAGCCTGGTAGCATTCTGCAACTTAGATTCAGGCAAGTGGATAAGTCTGACTTTATGTGGAAACCACCATGTCAATTAAGTAGGCTTGAAATTGGTATCATGAAATGTGCAAGGAAACCATCAGATGGGACACAATTTCATCTTCAGATCCAAGAGGCTTTCTTGAGGAGGTAACATATAAAAGTGCACCTAAAGGGAAGGGACACCAGAGATTCAAGACTTGGAGTGAACAATTTCAGAAACTAGGGAGCTCCAGGAGTAGAGGCTCTGGGAAAAGCAGGAAGGCCTTCTTCCCAGTAGGAGCGAATGCCAGCTGAGTTTCCACTGTACAAATGGGAGAGGGTGGCATGACTCTGGATGCTAGACATTTAGAAGGTGGAAGCGCCAGATTGTCCTGATCAACGGGAGGTAGGCAGTGGGAGTGGAGGAGTATTAGAAATCCCTGGCCTGTGCTGGCAGCTGCAGGATGCATGTCAAGTGCTTGGAATTCCAGCATGGATTTGTACAAGTCATAAGGCAAAGCACAAGGTCTTCATTTGGAACATGAAGGTTGATGTCCTGTGGAACATTGGTTTGCCTAGTGGAGAGACCTATCATTGGACAATGATGTTTTTGAAGATTTACTGAAATGGTAGGGGAAGATCCATATCCAGGGAGCCTAAAGAATTTGGAGACTTATATACAGTCTTCAGGGGCCTCATGTTTTAAAATACCTTGTTTTTTCTTCTCCTTTCTTCTTCTCCTTTCTTCTTCTTCTTCTTCTTCTTCTTCTTCTTCTTCTTCTTCTTCTTCTTCTTCTTCTCCTTCTCCTTCTCCTCCTCCTCCTCCTCCTCCTCCTCCTCCTCCTCCTCCTTCTGCTGCTCCTCCTCCTTCCCCTTCTCCTTCTCCTCCATCTTCTTCTTCTTGTATTTTATTTTATTAAACTGATTTATTATTATTGAGACAGAAATTCACCTAGTTAGGCTAGCCTCCAACTCAGTGCATATTTAAGTATGATGTCGAACCTCATGTTCTTCTTCCTCTGGGCCCATAAGCACATACTTCCATGACCTGTTTTATGCTATGCTGGGGGATTTGTGCATGCTTGGAAAGCAATATGCCTGCTGAGCTGTTCTTCATATGTAGCTCAGGTTAGCCTCAAACCTTAAATGGTCTACCTGCCTCATTTCCTCTCTACTTGGATTACAGGTCTGACCTACCATACTCAACTCCAAAATACGTCCCTATGCATTAACCCTGAGCTTTGAACTGATGGCCAGGGAGGCCTATTAGGCTTGTTGGTTTTTCTAGTAGGTCATAGAGCTCTCCTGGGTGTGTGGTTATCCAATGCCATAGAGCAGGGACTCTGGATCTCAGCATAGAATTCCTCTCCTGTCTCCATGTTGTGTCTCCACCTTTCCAAGGCATTATGCCAGCTCTCAGGGATTCATGTCAGGTGGAGTCACACTATTTTTTGCATTAATATGTACAGTGATATTAAATGAAAAACAACAACTATCAGATTAAATAATTTTCCCTATTAGAAGGGAGATAATTCCCAAAGGAAAAGTAAGTACATATTTTCTAAGTTCTATTAATTTGCAAAATATTGTAAACAAAACCTTTGGCCTCACCTTTCATTTCCATATCTACTCCTGAAGTGTTGGAACCATGTAAAATGGCTCAAGGTAGTTTCCCATGGCCCAAGTGTCCCCAAGGACATTGTCAGGGCTCTGAAGAAGACAGGCAGCAGACCTGGCTAGACACAAAAGGACAGAAAAATCTTCACCCCTGTCCAGGCTTATCCATTTGTCGTTGCCTCTTCCTTCAAGTCTCAAGGATGTTAGTGATTAAATGAGGAACAAAGCTTCCTTGTGTCTAAGTCTGAGGGACTTTTAACTGCCTCTGTTCTGACTATGTACGAGTACCCACCAGAGCACAACCTTTTCCCATGTGCTGGAATCTCTGACTCTCACTATTGTTTCTCTTGATGCTCTCAATAGCTCCTGGACTGTTTTGTGATCCCGGTGGTGATTTTGCTCTCCTGGTTCTTCCTGCTGATCCGGTACAAGGCTGTGCATTTCATCGGCATCGTGGTCTGCATCCTGGGCATGGGCTGCATGGTGGGAGCGGATGTGCTTGTGGGAAGGCACCAGGGAGCAGGTGAGTCTTGAAGAGGTCACCAGGTCACACACCTCTATGAGTGGGACCAAAGGGAGACCTGTGGTGTCTGCGTTTGGGTAGAAACAAGACTCCTAGTAACTTGGTTTTTCTTGTGACAGAGTCCTGTTCATGTTTTTCCCCCATACTCAAAGTAACAACACACAGAAGGCCCTGATATGTATGCCCTGGGTGGATACTAAATGCAAAATTCAGAGACATTCACACAATTGTTAAAACTGAAGTCACCATCTATGAGGAGGAAAGTTTTGAAGGTCAGAGTCGCTGGCCTGGAACAATTTTCAAAGGTAGTGTAGACAAGTTAATCAGCAACTCAGCCACAAAGCCTTCCCTGCTCCTCCTCACCCAATGCCTGATCTGCCAAGGCAGGGAAAGACAAAATCTCCAATCTACTGGATTGGAGATTACAAAATCTCCAATCTGTTGGTTTACAGGCCAGAGAATGTGTACTTAAAGTCTGCAGACCAGATGTGCTATGTTCCAGGAGCTACCTGCCATCTCATGCATGCATGTTTGTTTGTTTGTTTGTTTGTTTTGTTTTGTTTATCTGTTTTAATGGGAAGAGTTGTTACACTGATCACAGCTTGGAGACTTCTCTGGCAGTTTTATGATTCAGTCAGCCAATTTTTGTGATTCTTCAGGGAGAACCCTGATTCCAGTGGCTTCTGGAAGGACTTTCCTAATGTGTTTCAATTCTTGTGCTACAGAAAGAGTTTTAGAAGAGGGGAAAAAATGTCAGACACACAAACCCGTTTTGCCAGCAACAGAAGTGAAGTATAAAGTACTCACTTTCTAAAAGTCTTGGAACTGCTCTTTCTTCTAAAATGTTTGATAATGAAGGGTCAGAGTTGGGGCAATTGGCTTTACGAGACAAGGCTATATGAAGTCCCTGAAATGATGTTATGTTGCATCTTAGTTGTTTATAGAAAGAAAGAGAGAAAAAAAAACCCTTTCTTCAACCTCCTTTATAATTGAAATGAGGGAACAGCAAGTTCTGGCAAAGTCAAGTGAGTTATTCAAGGTCACAGAGCTGGGGTGGGAGGGCCTTCTGGGCTCCTGATATTCCAGGTAAGCTTTCTTCCTTTCAGATTGCTAACAGCTAAAGCTGCAACACAGAATAAAAAGGAGATGTCCTCAGTCTCCTGGACCTACAGTTGAGACGTTATTAATCCCTACCTCAGCAGATAGCTTGGAAATATACCCTCACCCTCTTCCCAATTTTCCTTTGAGAAACACTTGTTCTGTGACCTACTGATAGATAGTGTATCAAAGGTCTGACTATGTGCTTCATACACATAGTAAGTGTTCTAAGTAATTTCTTCAGAAGTCATCAGATAGTATTCTGTATAATAAAATGTCTAAGCTTTCTGGGCACTGTATAAACACAGATGAAACAGAAATAGATATCTGGCTATTGGCTCTAGCTGTCGATTCTGGTAATTATCTTATTCCATTGTCAATCAAGACACCCTTCCAGTAAGTCCCAGTGTTCTGATCCTGAATAGTAAGTTAACTTTGGACTGATTTATTAGATTACTGACACTAATCCTGTAAAAATGTTTTCTGGCTCTGAAGTGGTAGGAAAATAGTACTGGTTAAGAAAAGGACAACAAATCCATTTGAGAGCCTTTCCTTAAATAATCACTTAAAATTGAAGTGAAGACATGACTAACACATAGTGAAGTAGCCTGGCACTATCACCATGGACCTGCTCAAGGCTTGTGGCATTGTCTTTTGTGACGTGCAAAGCACCAGTGATAAGAGAACTAGATCTTGTTACTGTAGAGCACACTCTGTGCTACTAAAATGGTGCCCAAGAGTGTGGATAGGCGCCTCAAGGCAGACCCAAATACAAAATTCAAGGACTCATTGACTATACATATTTTATCTCTATAAAATATTAAATTGGGCAGAAAGCTCAACTGTCATATACCTGAAATCAATATAATTTTAAAATGTGTATGCATTATTACTAAAATTATCCCACTAGTTTCCTCATTTACAGCAGAGTGTTTTCAATTGCATTAACCAGCCAAGATCACCAGCCTTTTCTGAAATACTTTGAGTATTCACAAGAACTTTAATGAATCATTTGACTCAGATAAATTCTCATAATTATATTGGGACCTTTTCAAAGGAAAAGAAAATATCTGACTTTATTTTTTAATGTATTGTTTAAATTCTGTTTCTGTTTAGCTTAAGATCTTGACAATTCTGTCCTCAAATACATTAATTTTAGCCCACTAACAATTAATCTGGCCTCATCATAGATAGTTGTTCTAATTTTTTTTACTGCCATGTTTCTTCCTCTGATCACCAGGACTTCCTCCTTGATTTAAGTCTGGGTGAAGGAACTTATCAGATATCAGGCATTGCATTAAAAAAAAAAAGTCCCAGAATGAAGTACCAGAGTGAATGCTGTTGACAAAACTTCCCCATCTTGTTTGCCTAATGCTGACAGTGGTCAAAAGAAGGTACCCAAGCTCCTAGCATGGGAGACTTCACTTTGACACCCATTGAATATCTATCACAGGAACAGCCAGTCACCTATCATAAGAACTTTCTACCCCTTTAAGCTCTACAAAAGTATATTTTTTGTCAAGTTCTTAAGTAAAAACAGTGATTCTAATATTTAGAGGCTCCGTTTTCACTTAGCTCCCATCTGGCTCCCAGAACTCTCTGAAAGACCATCCTTGCTCTTACTGATATGACTAGTGGATATGACCATGGGCATGTAGGAATGTTGGAGTGTGTAAACATGGTTTAGTAGAGCCCCAGAGATACTCCACAATGACGTCTATTTTTCTAACTTGTGGATATAAAGAGGATGGGCAAAAATAATAAGATGAATAAAAAAAGGAAAATCATGCCCTATTCTAAAATATATTGCTTCTCCTAAAAGTAGCCCCTTTATAGTATATTAATTTCATCCTGTAGTTCATTTGTGATGATGTTAACAAGTCATTATTAGTTATAATTCTACATTTATTTTAAGGAAAAGAAAATATTTTTACAGAGCCTGACAATTCAACACAAATAAAAGTGACTTTTTTTTGTTGAACACTCCCCATTGTGAGGCACCTTCTCATCGGTCATTTCATTTTAGCTTAATAACACTGAAACAATTCTCATGTTTCATTCTCAGAAATCAAGGTAAACTGTGTCACTCAGATGTAAAATCTTTGCAATTTTTTTGTATTCCACACAGTTCTTATTTTTTCATAATTGCATCTTGTTTATATGAAGGTGCTTTTAAACAGTTAATTAGAGTAAATGACCATCCTAGAATGCCCAGGATGGTGGATTGCTCTGACATGAGACTTTAAATTTAAAATTGAGTCCCATGAAAACAAGACAGTTGGTCCACTATCTAAAACTTCTATGTATTTGAAAGAATGGGTACATTATCATCAAGGGACCTAGCAGTCTTCTAACACTCCAAAATAGTAACACTGGTTCTTGAATTAGTAGCAATTCAATGATGTTTAGATAAACTACACTCTTCTCCTAGTAACACACATAGGTGTTTATTTAAAACAAGTTTGTGATTGTTAAAAAATAAAATAGAGAAAACTAAACCTTGAAAGCCAATTATGAAAGAGTTGATTAGAAACCAGGAGCAGCTCAGAATGAAAAACGCCCAACTCATAGAGACAGACAGTTATTCAGATGAAATGAAGCTAATGCCTTTTAAAAACATCATTTATGAACAAGTAGTATGATTATACAAAATACTTCCTATATACTATTTTATTCTTGTAATAATAACAATTTAAGATAAAGTGAATAAAATACAAGGAAGACTCTGTAGTTCATGGCAGGTGTGATTTATTCCACTCTATCTGAATCAAAAGATATCACCATTCAAAACATTGCCATGCGATGTCCAGACTTTTTCTGCCAGGCAGTTCATTTAGACATTCTTTGGGAATTTAAAATGGTGTAGCATAGTACATTGTGGTGGAAACACATAGCAGAAGGGAACTCTTCCCTTCATGGCATGCAAAAAAACAGAAAGAAAAAAAAAAGAAGAGGAAGGGACTGGGTCTTAATATCCTCTTTAAGGGCATGTTCCAGAAGACTTAACATCTATCTGATAGGTGCTATCTCCTAGTAGTTCCACTTCCTGCCTAGAAACTAACTCTTCACACATTGGCTTTCAGGAATATTTAGGATCCAAACTGTAGGCCATGCTATAAAATAACTTGAAAGTAACTTAAAAACTGATTAACAGAATAGCTAGTAAATAATAAATGATATGTAATATTTTGTTGATAATAACTTCAAAAATATGTCTGAACTTGAAATTATATACAATTGTATTACTATTAAAATTAACATTAAATAAATGAAGATTTAAAAGTACTGATAAATACATTTCTTTTAATGGGCCACTCTAAAGACTACTCACATCTGTAAAAATGGGGGCTGGGGGCTCTGCTTGTTGTTTTTCCAGAAGACCTGAGTTTAATTCCCAGCACCCACATCCGGCATATTCCAACTGCGTGTAACCCCAGCTGCTAGATGTGACATCCATGTCTGCACATGGATAAAATTAAGTCTTAAAAATAAACAACTGAAGAAGTCTATTCACTAAAAGCAATGTCTACCTTTTAGGACTTTTTTTAAAAATGGACTGATGTTTCTTTCATCCTATTAAACTATTTCATTATGACTTCATTTTCCTGAATACATTCACATATAATTAATTTTGCTAAGAGTTCTATTAAGAAGCCTTTCAGTATTTCACTACTACAGCAATAATTGATATTCATAACAATGACTTCATTTCATGACAAGATTCTGAAATGTTTCCGGAATGGAAAAATCTAAAAGATGTGCTTTAGAATTTTAGTTATGGACCATGTCAAGTTCAAACATTTTCATACTTCCATAGCTGACACATAAAGATTCACTAGTTACTGAAGATTTCCCTGTCACAATGACCTTCATTTCTCTAACAGGGAGGCCCAGGGACCTCCCCCTAAATCTGCTTTCTCCTCAGGGCTTCATTAAGTTCCTGATCATCTGCTGAATAGTGATGGCAGCTCCTCAAGGACTCAAGGAAATCTTGCAGCCCTCCCAAAATCATGTCCTCAGTTTCACTCCCTTGAGAATAACTCCAACAAGCTGTTGTTTTATCTTTCATAGTCACTTTCTCTCTCTCCCTCCACTCATTAACAGGAGTAGGGAGATGCCCAGGAAAGGTTGATGCCATTTAGCATAGAGATATAATCTGAGGTGACCGAATAGAGAAGTCAATGCCAACCCTGCTTTCATTCATGTGAATCCTCTATCTACAGGATGTTCCATGCTCCCCAAAGAGTAGTGACTGCCTGCTTCTATAGTTTTGGGGTTGTTCAGATGATCTCAGCATTCAAAGATTTTTCTAGATGAGTCTCTTCCCGAGGAGTACTGTTGTAGTGAACACCCTTCCCCTCCTTCTCTCCTCTACCAGAGCTATACATCTGCCAAGCAGGTAGCTGCCTGACACCTGAAACGAAGAGCCAGAAACAACTAGAGTAGAGGGTTAACCAGTGAGGCTATTCATACTGCTTATTTCATTCTCTCTCTTCATGCCTTCTATCTACACTGCCTGAAATGGGAAGAGTTTGCCAAACTATAGGGTAAAGTATTTATTAGAAAAATTGGACATAAACTAGAACCAACTCAAACCAAATTTGAAAAAAAAATGTGTTTTTAAATTTGAAAAAGAGAAATTATTACTATTATGAATTTACATTTATATAGAAACTATAAATTAAATTTATGTAAACACACATTTATATTTTATATATTATATATTTTTTCTTTCTTTTTTATTTTATTTGTTACTTTACACCCAGCACACTACCCTCTTCCCTCCACCGCCCTGGCTGGCATTTGTATTCTCTTAGGGTCTGTATAACATCTTTCCAGGATCATCTGGCTTTCATAGTCTCTGGTGTGATGTCTGGTGTAATTCTGATAGGTCTGCCTTTATATGTTACTTGACCATTTTCCCTAATTGCTTTTAATATTCTTTCTTTGTTTTGTGCATTTGGTGTTTTGACTATTATATGATGGGAGAAATTTCTTTTCTGGTCCAATCTATTTCTAGTTCAGTAGGCTTCTTGTATGATTATGGGCATCTCTTTTTTTGGGTTAGGGAAGTTTTCTTCTATAATTTTGTTGAAGATTTTTACTGGCTCTTTAAGTTAGGAATCTTCACTCTCATCTATACCTATTATCCTTGAGTTTGGTCTTCTCATTGTGTCCTGAATTTCCAGAATGTTTTAGGTTAGGAGCTTTTTGTATTTTGCAGTTTCTTTGACTGTTATGTCAATGTTTTGTATGGTACCTTCTGCATCTGAGATTCCCTCTTCTATCTCTTGTATTCTGTTGGTGATGTTTGCATCTATGACTCCTGATCTCTTTCCACGGTTTTCTATCTCCAGGATTGTCTCCCTTTGTGATTTCTTTACTGTTTCTATTTCCTTTTTTAGATCCTGGATGGTTTTGTTCAATTCCTTCACCTGTTTGGTTGTGTTTTCCTATAATTCTTTAAGGGATTTTTGTGTCTCTTCTTTACGGGCTTCTACCTGTTTACTTGTGTTCTTCTGTATTTTTTTAAGGGAATTATTTATGTCCTTCTTAACATTCTCTACCTATGCCCAGCCAGAAATACAGGTTCCTTGGTTCCTTCCATTTTGCACCTGTGCCTGGAGCAAACCCATGGCTCTGGCTACCCACCAATCCCTGAAATACATAGAGAAAGCTTGGCTCCCAGGAGCTCTGACACAACAGGATCTCAAGAGCTTGGTAACACCAGAATTTCAGGATCCCAGAGGCAGCTTGACTCCCAGGATCTCTGACACACACAGGATCTCAGGATCACAGAATCACAGGACCACAGAGACAGCTAGACTCTGACAAGTTATGACACAACCAGTATCACAGGAGGGACAGGTTCTAGTCAGAGGCAGCAAGGTCAGGTAGCACTAGGGATAAGCAGACTAAGAGAGGCAAGCGCAAGAACATAAACAACAGAAACCAAGGCAATGTGGCATCATTAGAACCCAGTTCTCCCACTGCAACAAGTCCTAGTTACCCCATCACACCAGAAAAGCAAGATTCAGATTTAATATCATATATCATGATGATGATAGAGGACTTTCAGAAGGACATAACTCCCAAAGTTCATTTATTGTTGAGAATTGTTTTGTCTATCCTGGGTTTTTTGGTTTTCCATAGGAAGTTGAGAATTGCTCTTTCAAGGTCTATACTACTGTATTGGAATTGTGATGGGGATTGCATTTTTGTGTTTTTTGTTTGAAAAAGAGAAATTACTAATACTAATATTATGATGAATTTATATATTTATACATTATATATTTACACAATATATAAATTAAATATATACCATTCATATATTATATTTATTATATATTTTGTTCAATCTGAAGCTGTTTCAGGGAAGTAGAAATCTGATAAACCCTGTTAGTAGCCTTGTATACATTTTGCCATGATCAAAAACGTAGTGTTGACTATTGGCATGACTTCTCTCCTTGCATAGAAGAGTGTAGAAAATGACTGTCAGGTTTATAACAGGTTCACCAAACAGCCAAAAAATGCCCTAAAACAAAACATACATATTAGCATATATTTGTAGACATATTCTTAGACAGAGACGTGGGCTTTGAAGAGAATTAAGTTGAAGAAAGCTACATTCTTAAGGGAAACTTCCAGTTTTATGAAGATAGGTAACTTTTTATATCCTAGCCCATCTAGAAAACATATTTTTAAAATCTTTACATGATTTTGGTTGGAAATTGCTGGGCTTCTTATGAAAGTGTCAGAAGATAATAGAAAAAGAAGCTCCTTTTTCTGGTGCCAGATTCTTGTCAAGAAAATTTTTCTGAGTCTCCATCTGCTTTCTTTGTTTTCTAGGGGAAAATAAGCTAGTAGGGGACCTTCTGGTCTTAGGAGGAGCCACACTGTATGGGATCTCAAACGTCTGGGAAGAATCCATCATCCGAACTCTGAGCCGTGTGGAGTTCCTGGGAATGATTGGTCTCTTTGGTGCATTTTTCAGTGGAATTCAATTGTGAGTAAGAATAAGAAGGAACATAACAGATGTAAGAAGTGGGTTTTATTTTTATAGATCTTGGCCTTAGAGTGTAAAAACCAAGTCAGAAAAGCAATCACCAAACTGCCCCACAAAGATATTAAATCTACAAACTATATCCTTATTAATAAATTACTTCCAAACTAAATAAGTATATTATAAGTTATTATAAAACATTTCATAGGTTTTGAAGATGATTTTCAGGAGATAATGAAAAGTATGTGCATTCTTCCAGGAAGTGGGTTATGATTTATAAAGACATTACAAGCAAAGGACAAATCTTATGATTTAATACACTTCTAATGGAGTATGTTTGCTTATTAGTGACTGCTGCTAAGAAATTTCTATTTTAAATTTGGAGTTTTACTGGAGAGATGGATCAGCAGTTTAAAACATTGGCTTGCTCTTCCAGAGGACCCAGATTTGATACTCAGCACCCATATGAAAGCTCACAATCCTCCACAACTCTAGTCCTAGGGGATCTGAGGCCCTCTTCTGGTCTCTTGACAATGAAGCATACATGTGATGCAGAGATATACATGCAGACAAACATCCATATACATGAAATAAAACAAAACAATTTTAAAAAATAAAATTGCCCTTTTGTAGATTTTCCTTATTGCCTATGGGTTTATAAGAATGAACCATATTTCAAATTCAACTATCAGAATTTAGCATTCTCTTCTCTTTAAAAAGGCAGGGACATATAAAACTGAGATTCACTAAATGTCAAAAAGAGATGTGCACTAGATTTTCAATATATCCAAAACTGGAGCAAAAGTCATTCTTTAATGAATTTTCTAGTTCCTCAGAATTTGTTGTAGATGAAGAGTAATTTCTACCAGCAAAGAGCACATTTAATTCATATAAGAAGTGAAGTCTAGTTTCACCAAATAAGCAATTGCTATTCCATGAAATTCTTTTCTACAAAACAGACTCTAGGCTCTTCGAAGTTGTATAGGTTTGTTGTCAGAAATTACTTAGGGGAAATATTTTGATATCGCCTGATATCTCATTTTATATATTGGATGTTTCCTGCACATTTCTCAAAATCTAAGTGTCCTGTAATACTGCTGTAAACTCTCTAGCAGGCAAGACAGAGAAATGAGAAAGCTGGGGATTTATTTAAGATTCATTATGAAAGTGTAATAGCATTGAAAAGCTGCTGATTCATGTTTGTGAGAAGAAAAAGGATTTTTTAGATCAACCATTCATGGCCAACATTTTACAGATATATGGTTCATTTTATGCATTATTATTATTATTATTATTACTATTGGGTCAAAATATATGTCCAGAGATTCGCTGCTCTTTTGCTTGGTCATGCTCTATCATAGCTAATGGAGCTCTGTGGGATGTACTCCTGCCAAAACAAGAGCTTTGTGTTGTAAATGAGATATATTGAGTGTGCACTGGATCCAAGCCCTTGCTGGCAGAGTTATTAAAATGGTGCCAAAAGCACCTCCTCTACGGAGTGATTCTCAGAGTTCAGTCCTTGGACCAGCAACACTGCCATCATCCTAGAACAGCTTATCAGAATGCGCCTCCCTGAGCCCTCCAAGCTTTACTGAATCTGAAGGTCTAGTGAGGAGGCTGCAGAGACAGTGGTTTAGCACACTCTCCAAATGCCTGTGAGACACAAATGCCTATGTAACTCAGAACCACTGCTCTATTGAATGTTTAGGGACTAAATTTATTAATCCTATAAGAATGGAGTTTTCTGAGACTTACCATTTGCTTCCCCAAAGCATATGAAGAAAAAGAAACTAAACCCTAAAAGCCTGTTTGGTTGAAGACAATGAGGTTTAAATTCCCCTAGACCTTTATTGCTGCTGGCCACACCTAGAGAGACTTTTCAGGGAGAGACCACAGACTGCCTCTGCAGGGGTCAATTCATTTTTGAAGTTCAATTGGTTGCTTTAATACTTGTGTAAATATGGTAAAAGACAGGAAAAAATAATGTGTGTGATTGTCTTGTCCATTTGCTTTAACTCTACAGGGCCATCATGGAACACAAAGAGCTATTAAAGGTACCCTGGGATTGGCAAATAGGTAAGGATCTGCTCATTTAAGATGGGTTGTTTGTTTATTTGTTTGGTTGTTTGGTTGTTTTTGCTGGTGTTGTTTTAGGTTTTTTTTTTTTAATCTAAGACATTTGTTTGAAAAGTTGTGTGGCTAGGGATGTATGTGGCAGACAAGGAGGGGATTTAGAATGATAGGTGACAAAAGAAAATAAAATTACCTTGCCATGTTGGAAGTCCTTCACACAGTAAGACTGGATTTCTTGAATCTTCTCATGCCCTGCTTGAGCTTCTGTCAGTTAGCACTGTCAAGGTGTTTTATGGAAGAGACAGAAGTGTGTTATTAGGTTAAAGACAAACCAGAAAAGAAAGGCCCTAGGCAGTAGTGGTGCAGAAATGAGAGCAATTTGCTCCAGACAAGAAATACAGATTGATTGATCATTAAAAAAATAGCACTTTGGTAAAGGGGAAAACTGAGCTTAACAAAGGTATGAGAAAAAGCAGCATACTACACATTCTGGGCTCTTCGGACCCTTTTTAGAAGGGAGCACTTAGCCTTAAGAAATTATTAATTGATCTCCAACTGGCCTTGGAAACACTAGACAGGCATTTAACTACTCAGTAGACATCCAGGACATCTTAGATTTTATCTGTTTCTAAAGTCACTTTCTTCTAAAAATTTTTAGGGTATGGATTTCAGATCCTCAGTGATAATACTTATTACCTAGGAGGCAGGATCTAGAAGAAAGTATCCCTCAGTTCACTCAGAATTCTGTCTTAAGGCAAAGGATCCTAGCAGTGAACATGACTTGAGTTCAGGTCAAGTGGGGCAGTGCTTGAAAAATATGAGTAGGATGAATGTAAATCAGGGTTGGGGGCGTATAGGTGCTGCCCCACCACCTCCAATAGAGATATCTTTGGTAGAAGTGACTGCTTTGGCATATTTTTCTTCCATTGAGAAAAAGATTCTTGACATATTCTCTTCTACCACTGCATCTATCTCCAGCCCATAAGCATTTAGAACTGTTTTACTACCAATATCATGTTCTCTGGTGGTTGAACAAGAGACAGAAGATTATATATGTGATGGATGGGTGATCTCAGTGACTTCACACAAGGGCTTACCCACCCTTATGTTTATTCCAGAGTCCTCCATTTGTTTGTTTCTTGATGATGGATAGGAAATGCTATAATTAAATGAAAATCAATAGAGAGGAGGGAGGGGGAAGAGAAGAGAAGGGCAGTTGGGAGAGAAAACAGCTGCTGGGCCCAGAAGCATGTGACTTTGTGACTCTTGAAGTCAAGACTCTTAAAACATGACTCCTGCTTCACAGCACTTCTCATACAGTGGTCTGCGAGGATAAATTAATTCGATATTGATGGTAATGGCAGTAATCAAAAGGAATTCATCCTCTAATTATGCAGATGTCCTATACGTGACCGCTGGGACTTTGTCATAATTCAGTGTTAGTTAAATGTGCCATCACAAGGTAGTTTTATACTATATTCTCATATTACCATTAGGATGTTGGTCCCCTGCAGCCCAAGATGATGAAGACTGTGCAAAAGGATCATATTGCGGGGCCATCAAATTAGTTCCTGGTTGGAAACAAGGTTAAAATGGCCTAGATATCTGAAGCACTTGTATGCTTGCATTAGAGATTTTGTACTACAGCCAGCTTTGCTCCTGTGAGCTCACGCTCATCAACTACAGGGTCTGGTTGTCTAGCTCAGTTATAGGTATGTAGCATTCAGTAAATCACTGATCATTAAATGAGCAGGTGAATGAAGAGCAGCAGGTGGCTCTCTGCTGTCATAATAAAAGCAAAGGGAAGCAGTAGAGAGCACAGCAGAGGCCTGAGACCATGTCACACCTTCTTCTGAGAACTGAGAAATGACAGAGCAGCTACTAAAGCTCATGAACCAGAGTCTCAGAGACACTAGAAAAGGTCAACATGCTGTTACCTTTCCCCCACAGACTTCAGGAGGTCAGCCAAGGCCTGATGATCAGTTCCCAGTAAAGCATTAAAACACACACACACACACACACACACACACACACACACACACACACGAGAATAGATTCCAAGAGTATCTTCATTTACCATTATCTGTCAAAGACTTCCCCCAATCCCTCTCTATCTACAACTCTGATATACCTCACAGAATCTCTGGGTCAGCTCCTATGTTATCAATACAGAGAGTACTGGTTTTTTCCTACAGGGTAAGTAGGAAAAGAAATCTTCTGGATATGAAGATTATTTCTAATGGATTATTGTGTGGACTAATTTCAAGATGGAGTTACCAAAAGCCAGACGATTGTTTTCATCCCTTTGTTCTACTTTACTTAGCAGAAAGACTGCTTGTGATTATTTAATCAGTAAACTCAAGTAAAGCATAGGATTTAACATAGCCGAGCTGTCCTCCCCCATCAAGAATGCTAGTTCACAGCCAGAAATCTAGTAAACAGCTTAAATATACCCTTTATCTCATGTGCCAGCGTGTGTTAATGGGTATATGAACAAAGCTAATGTGGAAGTCAGCTATGAAGGAAAGGGTGTTCTGGGGGCTAACAGACATAGGTTTGGCTTACATGGAGGTACCTTTTCACTTCTGATGTTATGGCTGATCACTGTTTTATTACCTTACCTGGCAATGGGATCATGTGGTCTCAGAGCAAGGAGGTCCTGAGAATTCCTTAGGAGTACATTGAGGAGAGCTGGGAAGATAGCTCAGTAGGCAAAGTGATGGCTGAGAGAAGTATGAGGACCTAGGGGTCTGAACCCTAGAACTCAGGTAAAAAGCCAGGCATGGTGGAAGGCATCTGTAAACCCAACATCCTGGGAGACAGAGACAGGTAGAGCCCTAGGCCTTACTGCCAGCTAGTCTAGCTAAATTTGGTGACCTCTGCATTCATCAAGATTTTCTATATTAAATAAATAAATAAATAAATAAATAAATAAATAAATAGAAGAGTAATGGAGAAGACACTTGACGTTGGTCTTTGATCTACGTGCATGTACACGCACATACATACTGAGAGAGAGAGACAGAGACAGAGACAGAGAGACAAACAGAAAGACAGGCCAATGAATACTCAGACATACAACAGAATGTATGAAGTTGAAACTTATACTTAGGTTTCTGAGGTAGTTTCACTAGGTTTTCAGCTTCCTGTGATAAAAGTAATTTTTATTGTCTTAGCATGTCCAGATAGCCCAGTACTCTTGATAGGTTTGCTCTAATGCATATGTTCTAAGATACCATTTAATTTTTCTATTATTAATAGAAATGTCTTAGTCTAGTGAAGACAAAGGAAAGATAGAATACCAGTAAGACCTTAAAGAAAAATAGGAGATAAAATCCATGTCACACACACACACACACACTATAGGCAAATCTGTATACACATACACAAAACGAACTAGCCATTTCTCCCTTCATCTTCAGAACATCTCAGCAATAGACATTGGTGGCAAGTACTCAGAGTTCAGTCAGACTGCCCAGTCAGGGCAGGCTTCTTGGCCTCTTTCTCACAGATCAATATCTTCCCCGCCTCCTGCTCTGCATATAAAAATGATCCTCCTGAAGCTGGACACTTTTGGTAACTGAGAGGCAGAAGAGAAAGCTTAGATAGAAGAAAGAAATTGTCCTTATTCTATACTACTCAAGGACAGGTCTCCAGGATTGGCTGAGTCTCCTTGTGGTCAATCCCTATAATACTCCCCTAATTTCTGACCTTAGGTAATGCAGAGCTGTAGCTCACACGTGGATGTGGGTTCTGTTGGTCTGAGTTGTGGTTCTCACGTCTGCCACCCCAGACAGCTGGAACCGAGGCTCAGAGGGCAGAAGTGTGGGAATTTGACTGATTTTACTCCATGTGGTGCCAGGCAGACATAGGGTTGTGAGAAGTGGCAGAACTCTGCTCCGGGCATAGGGAGATCCCAGTCTGAGGTCCTGCGGGGGCAGAGCTCTTAGGTAGAGGGTCTCTGGGCCGAGGTGGCTGGCAGGAGACTGGTGGTCTCAGCCCTTGGGCACCCAGACATGACTGGGAGATCACAGAAGGACTGAGATGGGGGGACAGCCATACAAGTTGGATTGGCCCACAGCCGAGAGGGACAAGGGAGAGAAGCTCAATGAGACTCTTGGTCATGGAGATTCTCTTGGTTGGGTCATGGCTAGCTCGGCTAGCTTGCTTGAGTTGGCGGGCCTCCGTGGCTAGAATGCAGAGAAGTCCTGCAGCAGGAGATTAGTTGGCTGCTCCTTGGTTGACATCTCATATGGTTCTCCACCTGAGGGGAGGCCCAAAGACAAGAGGAAGTCCATGGTTTTAAAAGGTTTTTTGTCATGGTGGAAAGTAGATGAAGCTGTACCCAGTGTCCTCAGGGAGGGCCTGAGGTTAAATACTTTTGCTAGGAGGAGGAGGGTCTGAGAAGGAATGCTTAATTGGCTATGCCCTTTGGCCTTTAAGTATCTCTTTAATATGGAGATCTCTTGAGGCTCTGTGGACTGTAGTCACAGCCTCTACCTGTGCTACCTGATCTAAGGCCACAAACCTTTCTTTGGGAAGGACTGTGGATAAGTAAAAGCAGCCAGGGCCCAGGAGCAAGGCCAAATACCTACCATCCCATTAGGGTATCTGGGGTTTGAGGCCTGTGCTCAACCAAGTACCCAGCTGCCTCTCACAGCCCACTGCCCCACAAGGTAATATGGGTACTGCCTTTATTTCTCCATATCATGTAGTGTAATTCATAGCTATCACTACTCTCTGACTGCCTCTCTATCCTTGTTTTATCTCTCATTATTGAAATACGTTTGCAATATGTGTTCTACTAAATGCCCTCTGTTCAGTTTGGTATGGGCTGTGTTTCTTGACCAACATATTCAATAACCTCATCTCCTGCTTGTCTAAAAACAGTAGCAACAGCAATGGCATTACTTTGTTTTTGAGATTAGCTAATGTGTATACCACTCATGACACATAGTAAAGACCCCATCAGGATTAGCCAATAATGTTATTTTCAGTCTCTCTGCCTTAAATCTCTTCCCTGCAGAACAAGAGAAAACAAACTCTACACTTAGTTAGAAAACATATTTTTGGACGAGAAATGTTTATATACGCACTCTGCCTGTAAATGTACTTAATGTGATCATTATGTATTTGCTAGCCAATAATATTTCATCTGTTTGATCATGTCTATTGATTGAAAACTCTCCACAGGCAGCAAATTGGGTCTTGAGGTGAATAGCTAGCATCTGTTAAGGACCTAATGTCTACCCCAGGCCAGCAGATGGACAAGATGTGGTAGTCCATCATCCCAGCTCTGTCTCACCATGTGGTTTATGGTTGCACTTCACTCACAAAATAGGGTATCCATCCACACAAGTACTAGCTAGCTTAGTAGAAGAATCAACTATAGTGGCACTATGTGCTTCAATCTGCCACCCATATCTAACTTTAGCAACTTTATGAAGGATACTCAGAATGTTTAAGGTGGACCCATCCTGAGTTGGTCTGATTACTAGCCTACTGTATAGCTGTGTTCCTACTCTGCTTAACTCAAAGCTTCAGTTTCAAAGCTGTGCCTCTTCTCTCAGTATGCTCATGATGCATCCAGAACCCCACTGGACAGATTCACATGAATGATGCATAATTATCTAAAACAACACATTCAAACAATCCCTCACGTCCACTGAAAACCTGGTCCTCTCATTGCTCTCATCATCTCAGGAAATGGCACTAAAATTCACCCTTTTACTACAGTAAAGATCCAGTCAACTCCTGGATGTCTTCTTTTCTCTCACTGCTTACCTCCAAGCCATCAATAAGTTGGCTCAGCAGTCATAGACCCAGCCACTTTCCTTTGCTCCCCAAGTGACCCACCAGCCTGTCTTGCTAGGCAGAGATGCTATTCTTCTCACATCTCTATTCTCATCCCTTCCTCATTCCATTCATCCTCCAAACAGTAGCCAAACTCATCTTTTTAAAATGTAGATCAAATTATGTTAGGTCACTGGTGCAAAGTACTCAGGATATTCTTGCTGCAATTACAAATTTCTTTCTAAGACATACAGGGCTTTGCATTGTCTGCCAGCCTCCCTGGTTTCTCTACCTCATCTTTGTGATTTAGTCATCTTGGATTCTGTAAGCCACCAGAATAAACCATAAATTTACCCTCTTTGACAATCTTTCCAGGTAATGACATCTCTGCCTAAAATACACTTTCTATGCTTCCTTTAATCTCCTGCTAGTCCTTCATGTTCAGTGTAAATGCCACGTTGGTAAGGCATCCTTATATGAGCATCCTTCCTAAAACAAACCCTGGCCATTTTCTTTTATGAAAACTTTTATTCCCTCACCATGAGCAGCTCAAAGCTTTTTGTCTATCCCTCATTTTGCCAGATTCCTAGCCCAAAGCAGAGGGACTGTAGCATGCAAGCTTCCCAATGAAGTAAAAAATAAAGTGAGTACAAAGCATTAGAACTCACCAGTCTGCCCCAGTATGATTTGCCAGATAGTAAGATGCAAAGTTCAGATTCTAGTATTTGTTAGCACAGTTATCCTATGATCTAAATCAACAATGCCCAAGACAGTGAGGCAGGCAGGCAGACATACAGAGAGACAGACTGACAGACAGACAGGCAAGCAGAAAGAAAGAAAGAAAGAAAGAAAGAAAGAAAGAAAGAAAGAAAGAAAGAAAGAAAGAAAGAAAGAAAGGAAGGAAGGAAGGGAGAAAGGAAGGAAGAAAGAAAGGAAGAAAGACAGAGAGGGGGAGGTAGGGAGGGGGAAGGAGGGAAAGGAAGGAAGAAAGGAAGGAAGGAAGGAAGGAAGGAAGAAAGAAAGAAAGAAAGAAAGAAAGAAAGAAAGAAAGAAAGAAAGAAAGAAAGAAGGAAAGAAAGGCAATATCTGGAGTATTTGGACTATATTCTACCTAGGTTTGATTATCTTCAGTGGAATAATTTAAGAATAGGTCTTGCTCCCTGTCTTTTAATGTCAGATTTCTTAAGGAATACTGAATCAATTCTGAAGTCTTTTATGTGTTAGTCATAGGTTATTTAGTATTTGTTATATTTTTTGTAAGTTGGCTAAAAGGAAAATCAATTATGAGTGGCATTTTTATGGAGTTAAAACTTCTTGTGAGGAGTTGTATGCTTCCTACTAGTATTTTAGCAGATATATACATGTAATGAGCTGTCCTAGCTTACTGAACTCAGAAAATAGGGGCATCATCTTGCTCAGTACGAAGGGCATGTCCACCACACTAGAGGGGGCTGTTGCACTATTTGCTTAATGTTCACCATGATTTTTATGACTATCTGATGTAGCTTTCCATAAACTTAGGACCAGAAACAGAGAATAAACCCTGTGCCCTTTATTATCTTTAATAGGAACAAAATAGATTCATTTCTGGAGGAATTGCTGATCTTCTTAATCAGAGGGAGAGATATCCAATAGTAACCAAGTTCCCTTGAATTCACAGGATTCAATGGAAGCAAGGTGCTCACATCCTACCCCAGATACATTTAACCCAAGATCCCATTAGGAAGGTTACTTATAATGCCCAGAGAACCAACAAATTTTATCATGTCTTGTACTTCCAATGCAGAGAAATAAGCATTACTTTTGTACATATGTATCACATTATACCTGGGAAGTGATAGAATCTATAGTTACTTATAAAACCCTGCTATATATCATCCAAAACTCTGTATTCCTGGTTAGTATTAACACTGGTGTGTCTAGAGTTCACAGTAGCCTAGAAATGGTGACAAGAAAATGACACTAAATTTGGGGAGGTGAAACAAAGCTCAGTAATTTTAAAGAAAATAACAGATTTCCTACATTCAAAGCAGTCACATTGTCTGCCCAAAGATATGGTTAAGACTTGGTAGTTCAAGTCAAGGTTGTCTAGTTGCAACATCTGTGTAGATAACCATTCAGAGTAGTATATCATATATATATATATATATATATATATATATATATATATATATATATATAAATGTGGAGTATAATATAAAATATGTTTTGCAAGTATAAGAAGATAAAAATGTTTTGAAATACATAGGGAGGCCATAAGAGATGACTCAGCAACTAAGGGAGTTTTACTGTCCTTGCAGAAGGCCTGCATGTGGTCCTTTCCACCCATACTTGGGGGCTCACAATGGCTTCCAACACCATCACCCCCAGGGTGGGTCGGATGCTTCCTTTTGGTTCCCATAGGTGTATGCCTCTGTGTGCTCACAGAGACAGACACTGACACACACACACATACACACACACACACTCACACACACAGAGAGAGGGAGAGGGAGAGGGAGAGAGAGCGAGAGAGCGAGAGAGCGAGAGAGCGAGAGAGCGAGAGAGAGAGAGAGAGAGAGAGAGAGAGAGAACAAGTATCCTTTCTAGAACCAGTAGGATGTCAGCTACATGAGAAGAAGCAGAATGTGCATTTTCCAAGCACAAGTTTTAAGTTCTTATGTTTTACCTATGTACCAACCAATATTAGACACCATTTAACACAGTGAAAAAAAGGTACCTTTACTGAGTCTTAGGTGATGCCCCACAATTCCCTGACACTGTCTTCTTGCTCCCCAGGGCTGCTCTATGTTGGCTTCAGTGCCTGCATGTTTGGTCTCTACAGCTTTATGCCAGTCGTCATAAAGAAAACGAGTGCCACCTCTGTCAACCTGTCTCTGCTCACAGCAGATCTGTACAGCCTGTTCTGTGGACTGTTTCTCTTCAACTACAAGGTATGTTGAATCAAGGTTTCTCTGTACCAAAGGCAGTTTATAGGAATATCAAGTACTATTGGGGCTGTTATAGGATTTAGTGTGGGGGAGGATCTTGACTTTATGTGGTGAATGGGAATTCAGCTCTAGATGGTGATCCACAATTTGGATATTCATATTTCAACTCAAAATAAAAGCAATACTTAGTCCTGAGAGGTCAGTGACTAGGGACAATTGCCAACAAAAAGTAAGCACCAGCTATGGAGAAACAAGCTCTTTAATAAGGGGGAATGGTTCAACCTAGAAGGGATGCTTTCCAACCTGAGATTAGAAAGTTATAGCCAATTCCCAAATTGCAGCTACAAAACATATTTTGCCAAAGCCTTTAGTAGATTTGTGTCAACTTCACAGAAGTGACATAGTCCCAGAAGTTCTGACTTACAGATGTTCTATAGCAAATATGAATAGAAAAAAACATTATGTTTCCTCAAGGAAGTTTCTTAACTAAATTACTGTGGTTTGGTAGAAAAAAAAGAAAAGACTTGTGCCAAGCAGTTGCAGCCAATGTTTCAGCCCTAGAAGAAAGAACAAATGATCCCTCCAAAGATGGCTGTCCCTTCAAAGGCAAGATTGCACTGGTTACTCTCCTGTTGTCATTAAAATACACTGACAAAAAACAACTTGGGAGGCAAAAAGGTTTATTTTAGCTCACAGTTCAGAGGACTAACTCAGTCCATTCCTGTGAGGGAGGGCTGGCCTGGCATTCAGGAAGTTCAGTGATCATATTACATGGCACACAGACAACATAGAGTGAAACAGGAAATGGAGCCAGTCTAGTAAATCCTCAAAGCCCTCCCCAGTGATATAATTTCTTTAGCAAGCCAATTTCTTTACCTTCCAATGGTTCCATTACCTTCCCAAATGGCACCAACTGCAGACTCAGTCCTCAAATAATATGCCTTTAGGAGAATTTCTCATTTAAAATACAACAAAGACTCTACATGGATCTTCACAGGGGCAGGCATGATTAATTGAATATGGCATGCCAAGGTCCACTGTTATTTCTCTTAATACCACACTTGCTGCATTCATTAACAATCAGAGTTGGCATATAAGAAGAGAGCCACTTTGTGTTCTTTCAGTAACACTATGACGTAAGGATCAGTGGGGAATATAACACAGTATAGCCATGTGCATAATATTCAAGCACATTTTGTCCAAAGAAGGACACCCAGAAGAAAAAGTAGCAAATAAAGACCCTTTCCCCTGCCAGTGAAGGGCATCAGTCAATATTACCAGTACTGGGTGTTGAAACATGTTAGCAGATGCCCTCCTTCAACCACATGAAGCTGGGCTTGGGTTTGGGGGATGGGCCCTTGGAGAAATGATAAGCTGAGAAGTGTAGATACTTGACATGATGAGAGGCAAAGCCAAAGTAAACGATCATGATTCTTATAGAAAGAGGAGGAAGTCCTACTCGGAACAGAGAGAAGGGAACACTGGCCAAGCCAGTATATGGGGCTGGGGGAGCTGGAAATATCTGGAAGACTATGCAAGCAAGTAGATGCTACAGTTTTCTCCAAATGCAACAGACAAGTTCAGATAATATTTATTTAAAGCATAGAACATGATTATTTTAATACACACATTTTGTGAAAGGCTTACCACACTCAAGCTAATTAACATATTCATTGCCAGCTCTCTCTCTCTCTCTCTCTCTCTCTCTCTCTCTCTCTCTCT